ATTAGCTGGTGTTGATGCCCAACTGACAGTTAATCAGAGGTGGCATCAATTAAACTGCCCTGGGCTCAGGTTGCTGCCCTGCGGTGCTGGGCGTTTTGTGCACCGCTGACCCCCCGTGACTCATATACGGACGCTCACGGTGAGCAGCTGGAGCCCAGTTAACCACCGCGCCACCCTGGACTGTTCCCGGCCCTCCACTGCGAGGTGACTCTCAATTATGGATGACCATCATTAGAAACTAGACACGCCGGAACACAGGGTTACCCAGACTGGCACACACAGGCGCGCGCGCAAACACCGTGATGGACACAGCGATTATGCTCAGAGACACCCAAGACTATTGAAGTGCTAATGGAGTAACACCATCCATTTCATTCCATAAGCACTGCACCTGTAACCCCTGTGGCCTCCAGCTCACCACCAGTTAGTATTTTCCATATCAGTGTCATCGTTACTAGCAATTTAAAAATCTGTGTCATATCATGATATTCGAGGGGGGGTAGCTGAGTGGATGAGTTCTTCTCTTTCATGCATGATAGCGATACAATATTCTTGTCTATTGTACATATTTGTGGTTTTGTATCAGCTCTTAATCCTGCATTTGTTCTGGGATCATCTGGGGACATCTCTCATCAGTCATTAACAGATGAACTGAGCTGTAGACTGTAGACGGTGGCATTATGCGTTCACAGTGTACGCGCACGCAGGCACACACACATACGCAGACATGAAGGCTTCAGCTTACAAGTACAATCAGGGTACGTTAGGTTTTTTTGTGGGCTCTTTTCTGCAGCTTTTAAATACACGATTCTCCCTCAGGATTAGTCTGCACGGAGACAACTTTTTGTGCACAGACAATCAAAAGCAATCTAACGAGACCACATTGTTGCATAGCAATTTAGTAAAGACAAAGACACTGATCCACAGAGGGTGGTGTGAACAAATGCTAGTTAAGACAAGAAATTTACAATGACTTTATAAGTGGGTACAAAGACAAATGAGGAAAGAAGGGAGACTGGAGGGAAATAATGAGTGAAAAAAAGATTTAAGACACATCTGCTGGGTTCAGAAAGCTCACGGCTGCTGTTTCTAATGCTTCTCTAATATTTAACTAACTTAACAAAAAACAGCAAACATCAAAAGAAGTTGCAGGGAGACAAGTCCAGGCATGTGTGATGTCTGAACAATTTTAACTAAATGAGCACACATGACTAACTGCCCTTGACCACAAGCAACCATCCCTATAGCATCTTACCAAATGGGCCATAACCTTCAGGTGTGTGTTATCTCAGATATTCCCAGGATTGGACGTCCCAGCAAACTCACTTCAAGGTCAGATTATGCAATGCTTTTTAAAAACTCAGGAGCTGCATCTCAGCAATCGCTGCTAAAGGTGGTTCTACAAGTTATTGAATCATGGATTTTACTTTTCTTGGGACTGCACAGAGTCCTGAGAAAACGTTCTTGTTCTCACGACTGTGCTTGCAGATGTCTTTACAGACAGCTTTAAATGTCACTGAACAGCAGCTGAATAGCATCTTTTTGTGGGTACTCACCCTCTTCATCAGCAGTATGTAAGCATCTGCTTGGGTCCGGTGGCCCTGAGAGGCCAAACGGACTGCAACTTAAGACACCAGCAATAAGAAAAACGCTGCAAAAGCACACAAAACACAACGGAAATTGGAAAAACGAAAACAGAAATAGGAAAAAACACTAGGGAAGTGTTTCTGGGGAGACAATAACCCGACGGACCAATTGCAGGAACCCAAAACATGGTAGGTGTGTTTTATCATGATTCATAAAATACTGATGATGGATTTTTAGGCTAATAGTTAGGCTAACACACTTACCTCTCATCTTTTCTTTCCTCACAAGAGTGATAGATCCTCCACTTCTTTTAAGTGTCTCCCAGCGCAATTCTTAGCATATTTTGGTTCCTGCAACTGGTCCGTCGGGTTATTGTTTCCCCATAAACACTTCCCTTGTGCTATTGGCAATCTGTTTTTCCCTATTTCCGTTGTGTTTTGTGTGCTTTTGCAGCGTTTTTCTTATTGCTGGTGTTTTATTAAGTTGCAGTCTGTTTGGCCTCTCCGGGCCACCGTATCCAACAGATGTAAATGTCTCAGAGACCTTATATTACAGCTGTCCATAAAGCATGTATAATCCTGATCTTTTACTATTTCCCATTCCACTTTCAGAAAGTGTGTGTAGTTAGTGCAAAAGACCTCACAGAGCTTCACGTTGACCCTCGGATGTCATTCTGACCTAAATGGACCCTTTTATACCACTGGTTGTGGAAAGTCTAACTTTTCCTGCATGAAGCCAGTAGAGCTTGAACTCTATGTTCTCTAACACCTTTGAAAGCCTTTGTTAATGGGTCATTTCCTGTGGCATGCATGCAAATGCAACGTTCCAGTAGCTATGGATACATCTGTAGGTGCAGCATGCATTTTTAATTGAATTTCCATACCACGTTCATCCAAATTGTTGTGCGCATGGTTTATTCAGAATCAGTGTGACTGAAGGCATTTCTAAACGGGTGAGGGTTACCAGTGCTTGTTTACTCACACCAACATTTCCAGCATCCAAAACAAGCATTATGGATCTTTTTATGTTAATTTAATCCAAAGAGCTAATATAGTTTCATTATAGAGTTATACTGAAATAACATATTTTGTTTTCAATGTTATGCACCTTTATTTACATAGGCTTACTTTACTTGGCAGCTTTACTGTTACTCTACTATTGTACAGCTTGAATGTGTGCTCATGTCTGATAACAGTATCAGAGCTTACTGGTTCATATCACTGTTAAGTAGCCAGAGAGGTAACTGGAGTTCGAAATGTATCCAGCTCAGTGGGTTCAATCTGTCCATAGTGGGCACACACAGAACATCCACCTCACCAATACACACACTCGCAAACAAAAGTATCAGATGATGGTCCCTGAATTATTGAGAGCCACCAAGCAGCAACCAGATTCTTCTACATCTTTGTCCTGAATATTAATGATCCGCAGATCCTAGACTTGGGGTGGCACAAGCCAGAGATTTGGGGAGAAAACATTGCTGACTTTTTAAATATACATTTATTTTGCCCGAAACACGAGAATCTCAGGTTAAACCTCACTAAATTTCAACAACCACTAAACAGCTAAATCGGGTGTCAGACGTAATCAGACGTAAACACAAAGCGCGGACCCGACGCTTTCTCACCCGACGGCAGGTACACGGACACGCCGTCGGGGCCGACAGCTCACTGATTCTGATGCGTCGGCGGGTTCGCGCTTTGTGTTTACGACTTTTTTGTGCTCGAGTCTGAAGCTGCAGGTTTTATCACTCTCCAACCAAAACTGATTGAACCAGCACCCAAAGACGATTCAAACTGCGCTTCAGATTTCGCTTCACATAAACATCGTCACGAAGTCCCTCTGACTTTTGGTGTTTTGCTTCCACCATGATAAAATCACACTTCCTGCACCCTTCAGTGTACTTCAAGAACAGTTTCCCATCTAAAAATCTGTTTTCTGCATTATTGCTTGCTTAAATTTAACTGACTTCCCTGAAGAAAGTCTCATGTCTGCTGTTCAATACTAAAGAAATTTTAACTTTTTAAAATGATGCAAAATTGAAAAATGCTTAGCTGTGTTTCTAATCAAACCTTTGTAACGTTGCTCTGCTTCACTTCAGCAGCATCAGGTAATGTTTATATGTTGGTTCATGGTTTTCTTCCGTTTTTGTTCTACTGCAGAATATTTTGAAGGTTATCTGCTATAAAAAGCCAGGCCGGGAAAATCTCCTTCATCTCCTTCACAGGCATCTGCTGTGATGCTCACACCTCTGATAAAGTCTCGCAAGTGTCAGCTTTCTTTTTATAGATATAAAAATATGGATATGTACTGATAAATGATCAGAATTATAATGCTTCTGACTGTCTGAGGCAAAATTTCTCTGATTCAAATTGAATCGACTCGTGGATCAAATCAGAACCTTGTGAATCAGAGTCTAATTGATTCTAGAAATCAGTGACGATACAGCCCTAATGATAGCTCTGTATATGAAGGTGCATTCAGAACAACAACTTTGTGTCATGTAAGAGCTTAAATTTTATGATTTTAAAGCACAGTAACCTTTAGCATCTGTCAGCCCGATACTAGTCAGGGCGTAAATCATATGGGTGCTTAGTGCCTATAATTTTACCATAATACAGAAACTTTCTGTTTGTCTGTGAACTCCTACTATACAGGAGTTGAACAACCGAAAATGGCGCACAGGTGCACTTCCAAGTCTTCTCATCTTTGCGTCAGTAGGCCCCTGAAGGTTCTTATCTAGATCAGATATTATGATGTCATTATGTTGCAACATGATAATATCACAATACACTAAATTGTGTAGTCATTATGCACTTACAGCACCTTATAATAGCATTTAATTTCATGGCAATAACGTCTAATTTATGACCGCAAAACTTGCATGATGTGTTATGATGTTATAATGTTGCCTAAGAACCAACTAGCAATTTATTAAAATAATAGACATATACTTGCATATACAATGTATTACCCCTGTGCTTTTTTCTACTACCCTTGTCAAGCTTGACTATTTGATTGGCAAGATATTCGTCAATCAAATAGTCACAAACTGATATTTGTTTGTGCTCACAAACATTTTTTATTCCTCTCACCAAGTGAGACATTGGTCCAAAAAAAGCACGACCTGGGGCCGGATAATCGGAAGAAGATGGAGTAAGAAGAGTTAAAGATGAATCTGAGGGATAGATTATTTCCTAAATTAGATTTATAATATATTTCTTGTTATGATCATCATGTTTTCATATTATCACTTCTTTTAACCATGATAATGGTTTAGTGTACATCTGACACAGACCACAAAATAAATAAATAAAAATATTTGTATTCTTTGTGTGACTGTTTTTTTCTTTTCTTATGGCAACAATAACTTTGAAAAAGAAAGCACATAAAAACATTAACCAGTATCAAGGATTGCTTTTACTTTCACTGTCAGTACAAAAATCTATTTCAGAAGAGTGAATACAAACAAAGCAAAAAAATCATCATTTTAAATTCTGCCTTTGACTTTGTGTCAGTGGAGATCAGCACGTCGAAATTCAAGAACAACATGCTTGATAGGTGCTCAGCCAAAGTCTTGTTGATGGACACTGGAGTTCTATGACTAGCTTATTGTTAAGAGTTGAAAGCTTTGGCACTGCAGCACTGACCCTGCTGGTGAGAAAAGGCATGAAGAGAACAGCAGAGTGAGAAAGTAATATCGTTAGGATTGTACTTTTCTGTAGCTGCCATTTAAATCTGTTCCAAATAACTGTTGCTCGCTATTATTTCTGTTGACACCAGTATTTACTGAATACTTCTTTAGTTACTGTCCCTGAAATACTATCAGATCCTGTCATCTTTGTGTCAGTAGTCCATGCTGTGTAGCTGACTCTTCCTGTCAGGTTTCCCCTGCAGGCCTGCAGAAAGCAGTGGAAGGTTCAGGTCTGCCACGCGACGCTGGAGAGACGAGCGCAACTGAATTGAGTTCCTCTTGGCTCCATTTATCCCTCCTGCTACTCTCTCTCCTCGTGCTGCAGACAGCTCTTTCCTCCTTCCCCTCTCCTGCCTGAGGTTCTTGAAGACCAGAGTATGTTGTCTTTGTGAGGGGAGAGCAGGAGGTTTAGACCCATTCACGATTAGTCTCGGGGGCCCGGGTCGGGTCAGCCCTGCCCATGTCATCTTCCTTCCCCGCCCGTCTTTAAGCGCCACGTTGTTGAGGAGTGGGAGGGGGGAAGAGGGCGATGTCTGTGACGCCTCAACAGAACCCAAGTGGCCTCTGTCTGAGGAGTGTGTGGTGCGCGTGTCAGTGTCCAGGAGTGTCCTGGGAGACGTGCCGTTCTTCTCGGATGAATAAAACGTCTGCAGCTTCTCCAGTCGCTCATTGATGCTCAGGTGATTAGAATCTTCCTGGCGTCGGGTGCCTTTGAAGCAGTCTGACACGGGGTCTGCAGCACCATCTGACTGAGTAGTCCTGAGCAGGTGCGTATTTCGGACTGGTCTTGACGTGCTAGTATCTCTGATTGGCTCTGCAGGTAAGGGAACTTGGCAAGGGGCGGAGTCACAGAGTTGAGATGTGGAGTTTTTAGGAGGAGAAAGGTGGACGAGTTCCCTGTCTCCAAAAACAGTTACTAAAATACAACGAGATAAAAGTATAGTATAGTTGACATTGTATTATACTGTCACTGCATGCAGCATTTGTATTTAATGCCCTCCTCACCTTCTGCAAACAGTGTCTCTCTGGCATCTAAGGTCTCCTCATCAGTAGCCCTCTCCTCTGCAGACAGAGGTGCAGGGGAAGGAGAGGGGAGATGAGGGGGTAAGGACGGAGAGGCAGAGTGAGGAAGCTGGGGTAGAGAAGGAGAAGGTGACCGATTCTCGTCACCCTCTCTGTGCAGGTTCTCAGTCCTCTTTCTGCTGCTCTTAAATTCACTTGCCTGTTGGTTCCTCAGAGGCTTGCTCAGCTGCTTCAAGCTTTTTTCATTGGTTGGTTCATTCTGAAGGTTGATCAGTGATTGGTTGTCAGGATGATGAAAGAGGAATATAAAACCAACAATACATGTATGATACTGAAACACACTACCTGACACTAGTTTGTACCACAATGTTGCCTTAAAAACTAAAAAAAATGAAAGCCAATGCAAAAAGCATTGCATTATTTAGGACATGGCTACTTTGATTGACAGGTGGTTGCTGCCTCTATCTTTCTGCCCGGTTTCAACTCTGCAGTTTTTGATTTTGATTGTACGCGTGTGTGGTTTCTGGAGTTTTTAGTGCAATTATGTAACAGATATATAATTCGACTTGATGTGTTCATGTAGAGCCAATCGTTGAAGAAGTCTGTACAAAAGAGATGGTGAGAGAAAGGCTGCATTTTGTGTTTTAAGCAGCAATAATTAGCAGCTGTTTGTGTCTGTGGGGTTTACAGAAGCAGCTTGTTAAATAAGCTTGTTGGTGTTAGCAGATATGTTAGCATGTGATCCTCTAATGATAATCACTTTAAGCATATTTGCACTGCACAAGACACTAAATAATGTGGATTGCACAACACTGGTCATTATATTCTTCATTTCCGGTTAATACTTGTACAGCTGCTGTAAATATATATATTTATATTTCTTCATACATTCTTATATATTTCTATACTGTGTATTGTGTCTTTTGTTGTACAGTTATTTTATTTTCAACTTTAATTCATATATTTGATCTTATTCTTTCCCAGTTAAATTTACCCTTCATTCTAATTTGTGTTGTGCAGTTATTTCATTTTTAACTTTAATTTTTATATTTTATTTTATTCCTTCCTAGTTAAATTTACCCTTTTTAATTTTCATATTTATTTCCTATCTTATTGATAGCCTTTCTTTTTTTCTTTAGGCCACGAGCAGTTGTGTAAGCATTTCACTGCATATCGTACTGTGTATGACTGTGTATGTGACAAATAAAATTTGTATTTGAATTAGAATTTTGAATTTTAATTCTAGACTTTAGTACGGGTCCAAAAACCAGCTGGTAATGTCCGTGTTATATACAGTCTATGTGAATCAAATGAATGAGATGCATGGTCAGTTTTTCTGTGTGGGATGTTTTTGACTTATATGTTCCTTTATTATGTACTGTAAGCACACATGAGTGGCCCAAATTCACTTTATACTTAAAATGGATCAAAACTTTATCTGACTGTTGATTGAACCAATATGTCAGGGAGAGTAATAATAGTAGTGAGATGGGCGACCTCAGCATTACCTGTTGTGGAGTCTGGGATTCACTGTTATTCCTCTCTTTCCATGTATTCTTGCTGGGAAGACTCCAGTCGTTATTCTCTAGCTTCTGACAAATTAATCATTGTTGATGCCAAACCATGAATATATCACTTGTACTGATGGTTTTTTGTGTTTCATGTTTTCAGGCCTTTGTGTGTATATCTGTGTGTTATAACGGGAATACCTTGCTGGCTTTGGCTCCTCTCTGACTCCTGTTGAGTCGGCTGAGCAGCAGGTGATAGGAGGCCGTGAGGGCCGAGGGTCGGTTGGTTGTGACCACGTGTATGATTTCAGAGAGGGAATATCCCAGTGTCTCTGTCATGTATTCTAGCACGGTCGAGTTGAGATCCTCTGAAGACAACCTGGAAAACAAGAGAAAGCTTTGGAAAAGGCTCACAAATGAGAAATAGAAGGAAGAAGAAGAAGTGGCTCTAACAGGCCTGTGTGGCAAAGAAAGACTTGGAGCTGAAGGATTTTTGGAGCAGGGCTGCAACGGCTCTCGCTCACAGACTGTGGCATCATTCCTGCGGATTTCGGAAAACGCATTATTTCCAGCAGGAGCCATACATGATTGCATTTCCATTCTGCGTAAAGTGATAAAAGCTTTTTAGTTGTGCTATAATACACAAAGCTGTTACACTGCAGACCACAAAAATGTTCATTTTGTTCTCAGACACGCAGTGATTTCCCTCTTGGTTCTTTTACCCACACTGTAATGTTTGCTGCAGAACTTTCCCTGAGGAGAGGCTTTGTGTCCTCCTTTTCTCTCATGGAACAGATGCACATTCTTATGTTACAGTATAATAACGGTATAAATCATTTCAATCGTTACAAGAAGGGTTCCACTTTTTGCAAACACATTACCATTGTCTTTTGTGTATATTGATGAATTGGATGTGCACCACATGCGTTAAGGTGTGTTTGTACCTGTTTTTATGAGAGAGAGTGTGCAGAGCTTTTTTGGAATAGCCCTCATTTATCCATCTCTCCTCCATGGCAGCTCTAACGCTGGGTCTCTTTGCTGGGTCGGGCTCCAGGAGAGACAACACAAATGACACAGCACCTGCAAAGATGAATCTTTTTAAAACAGGCGATTTCTATATTTGGTTGAGTTTAAATTTTTATTGCCCATTTTCAGAAAGCCGAAGAAATTTACAAGCATTTTCTAACTTCCCATTAATGCATCAGACAGACAGATAGAGAGATAGATAGATTTGTCCAGTATATCCACTCTCCTTACTCTGAAAATGTCCAGTAGATCAATAGTGGATCAATGAACTGAACTAAAAGAGCTGTTAAAGGAAGGTCATGGGTAGATTCTCATGAAGGAGGTGATAACTGTTAAAATGTCCTTTTTTCTGCTTTGTGGTCAAGAGAAAAGAGCAGCATTAGACATAGAAATGAGAGGACCTGTGTAGCCAGTGTGCATCAGCTGGTCGTTAATCACAGGCAGGATTGTGGTTACTGTTTGATAAACATCTCATCACAGATGAGCCCAGGGCCGAGAACCATCTTTTCCACTGCTGTTGCAACCTTATAAGTGATACATACTTAGAGTACTGACGACTTAATTTGCTCGCTCTTTGTGACTTGTGAAACTGTATCAGACAGCGAGGAGAGAGGCAGGGTTTCCCTTCAGGAGAACCAATTCAGCCTGTCAGCCTGTGACAGAGAGCTGTTCTGTGGCAGCCAAGCATGGATGATAGTTTGAGTCCAGATGGGGATTCCAGATACGTTTCACAGTGTAAAAGAGCAGATGGGTTCAAGCGGGATGGCTGCCACATTCAAAGACACATCAGCCAAGACTGCTCTGTTCACTTTACTGCTATCAGTTCGCTTTTGGTTCAGAGCCAGACGCCTGTCTCAGCCAGGGACAACTCAATTTGTTTGTAACAGATCAAAGGAAGACACACGATTGATGAATTTTAATCAGTGAACCTGTGGAATCGTCATTCCTCCAGACAACAAACACATAAACTGGCAAACTGGTACAGATGAAAGAAAAAAATATACTTAAGATGAAAGTAGAGAAGCCTAGAAAGAAAATCCTAGAAAGCAAAGATATATAATTTAAAGGATATCACAGAAACAAGCCAGACAAGCATGTAAGCTAAGAAACGGGCCAGTCTTCACCAAATCATGAAGTTCATGAATTACCATGGCTGAAGAGAAAAAGAATCGGTATCATGCATAATTTAAAAACTCTAGAAGCACACAGCCCCATTAGGAGGCAGAATAAAGTCTAAAAGTTAATGTGAATGTCTCAGATGCCCGGCCATGGCAGCGGTACAGCCACTAATCTGATCTTGTCACAGTTTCAGAGCCTCGGAGCTGTGCTGGTTTTCCCCACAGTAACAGGAGCTATGTTTGTTTGCGGTGACATGGCGCCATGACTGAGCGTAATGATGGGACTATGTGTAAGAGAGAGACCAAAATAAAGTAGAGAGAAACAGGACACTGAGGCTGCTGTGGACTTGGCAGAAGACAAGTGGTAGAGGTAAGCAGTTTGTAAAACGTTTCTTTCCTCCGATTTATTATGCTACGACACGTCTAAAGGCAAAAACACGACTTCCATAAAGGTTTAATAAGTATCATCATGTAGACTTGTTTTTATATTGGTTTCAGAATGAATAAACACTTTCAGCTACATCAGCTCATAATATAATCTGGCATTTCTTTGGTATGTCTAAGTCTACTCACTTATTCTCATTCGCTTCATTCTCCAAGACTCAACTTCAGAACTACACTTAACCTAGTGGCTTTTTAATAGTATAAGCCCAATAATCATGGCAGAGGTTCACCAATCTGCAAAAAACTGTGTCTGCAAATTGGGAAACAGTTTCAAAACAATTTCACTAGAAACTGAAGATTTTGAATTCCTCATCATTCGCAGTAAATGTCATCATCAAAAGATTCAGCAAATCTGGAGGAATCTCTGTGTGCAAGGGACAAGTCTGATCTTTGGGCTTCTCAGGTGGCGCTGCATTAAAGATGGGCACAATTCTATCTTGGACATCAATGCACGGGCTCATCAACGCTTCCGGAAATCAAGTGTGTTAACACAGTTCACCATGTCATCCACAAATGCAGGTAAAATCTCTATCATGCAAAGATTTAGAATGGACAAAGACAAAGTGGAAACCTGTTGAAATTTGAAATAATTTTTTGGAAATCATGGACAGCGCACACCTTAGCGCAATGAGTAAAGGAGTCATCTAGCTTGTAATCAGCACTCAGTTGAAATCCTGGATCTCTGATAATATGGATGTCAATCAATGCCTGTGGGATGAAGCGCCTTGAGGCAACTTTTGTTGTGATTTGGCGCTATATAAATAAAATTGAATTGAATTGAATTGAATTGGGCATGATCAATGCTGAAAGATGTATACGCAGGTTTAAGAGCATCCAGATGACATCGTTTTCACGAAAAAAAACCTTGCATATTTCAGCCAGACAACACTAAACTACATACTGCATCTATGCCAACAACATGGCTTCGTAGTAAGAGCCCGGGCGCTGAACTGACCTGTCTGCAATCCAGGTGAAAATATTTAGCACATTATGAAATCTAAAATATGGCAAAGAAGACCCAGGACTGCTCAGAGCCTACAATCCTATTTCAGTCATGAATGAGGCAACTTTCTTCTCCTGAAAGTTCAACAGCAGCTCTCCTCAGTTCCCAGACATTTATGTAGTTAAAAGACGAGGGGGTGCTAACCAGCGGTAAACATAACCCCGTCCCATTTTTTTTGTCCTACTGTGAATAAAGTTTTGGTTTATGAGATTTTCAAATGATTGCATTCTGTTTAAATACGGTAATGATAGAAGCTTTGTTTCGGTCACTCTGATAGGTACCTTTGCTGATGTCACCGGGGATGCTGCTGATCTCCCCGTTGACCATCTTCTGGTGCAGCTGTTTGATGTTGAACGGCTCAACAGTGAAGGGCAGAGTTCCTGTCAGCATTGCAAACATGCTCACGCCTCTGTAGATACACACAACGGGAAAATGTGAGGAGGCGGTCGACACATTTACATGAAAAATACTGAGAAAATCATTACATAATCGGTTACAACACTATAGAAAAATGTGTTCAATATCCAAGCAGAGAGTTTCTCTGATAGACACACTGAGACTTACACAGACCACACATCCACTTTGGGTCCATACTTCCTGTGAGCGAGGAGCTCCGGGGCGGCGTAGGCTGGACTTCCGCACTGGGTGCTGAGGAGCTCCAGAGATAAAGAGTCAGTCTTCAGGGTGTTACTCAGGCCAAAGTCTGTGGGAGAAATCATCATCTTACAGCAAAGTTCTTTTCAGAAATTTTAGATAGCTAAAACAGTTTAGCGTAAATAATTGAAATCAGTATGTTAGTGACGAAACTACAACATACCCACAATCTTTATATTGTTGTGTTCATCCAGAAGGAAGTTTTCGATCTTTAAATCTCTGAAAATAGGGGAGAAGGAAAATAAGAGACAAATCGGTTAGGTCTCAAAGGAAGAATGTGGTTCATAGTAGAATTTTTATAAGGCTCTGTCCTTAATCCTACAGGAATTTCTAGTTATTTTTCTCCACACAGTGCTGATGAGTGTTCTGGGGCAATTTACTTGACAGACATCATGGTGGTTGCTCAGAACTCCAACACTAAGCTTTTTCTGTGTATTTATAGATGACCAGATGAGATGGGATCAGACTGGACCCACAGAAGCAAAAGGAATAACCCAAACGCTAAATTTGGGTTTGGGTAGAGCTCAAGCTTTTGGAAAAAATCCTCAAAAAGAGAGTTTTTGTCAGAATAATCTCCTCTGGTGATTATGTTTTAGAAAAGAAGCTAATCGCCCAAACTTAAAAGCCTGCACTCGATTTTCAAATCAATTCACGTCACCTTTTTCTGACTTATCTCTTATTCTTTACCAAAATACCATATCTCTGTTCACCTGAAAAAGTTGCTTCATTCCCCTGAAAGTACCCCAGCCTCACCACCAACCACACTGAATGCACTAAAACTACCAAGCTAAATGAAAATCTGCGGTCAGGAGCGAAAGAGCCCCTATAAACTACAGCCTGGGAATCCGCCATGCTCCTTTCATCTGCCTTCATCTAACCAAAAATCCAGAAAACCCTGCTCACACAACCCGAGACAAGTTCAAAGAGAGGCGGAGGAAGAAAGAGAGAAAAAAGAGCAAGAGAGAGCGAGAGCAGACATTGTCATAAAGGAGAAAATGTATGCGGTGAACCTATTGAACGTGGGTGGCAGGAGGTGCGTTTAAGTGCAAAATTTCCATTTATTTCCAGTTTAATCATCTCTGTGTGGCATTGTGGTGCAGTGTGTGTGCGCGCGCGCGCGTGAGCGAGTGCGTGCGTGTAGGTGAGCGCGTGGGTGTATGTGACAGAAAGAGGTGCCATTGAAGGGTTGAGAGCGACGTCGTTGAGGGACTTCATTAGAGAGGAAGTCCATGATGTTGTGATGATGTGTGAATCATGGCGCCGGCGCAGGATGATGAGGTCATTGCCTGGTAATCACATTCCCACCTTCAGAGGAGCCAAGGTCTTAAACCAAAGCGCAGAGCTGTGCATAATGTGTGCGGCTGTTTTGCAAGTGTGTGTGTGAGAGACTATTGAGTCTCTAACACCTACACGTACTTAAATACCACTAAAATAAAACTCTCATCTCCCACACCGCGCTGTGCCCAGCACTTCCTCCTCTGTAGGCTGTTAATGTCCTGCAAACTTCTTTCTGCGTGTATATGCATGCTTTTTCAAGATGTGTGTATGAATCATAAAGCTTTGAACCATATAAACAACTTTTTGTTTTGATCCGTTTTTTAATTCTCTCTCTTTTTTCCCACCTTTTTAAAAATAAATATCTTTGACCAATCGGCTCAACAAGAATATTTTCTTAGTAATTTTCGATTGGTAGGATTTTCTACTCGCCTATCAAACATGCTTTAGGAGATCACATGTCAAAGGCCATATGAGATTCAAATTTGGCACTAAATTCTAAATGTACTCAAAAGTGATCAGGTTTGGGGGTCACTGTGGCCTCACAGCTGGTTGCCCAAAAGCTTTCTTTTCTTTTCTTTCTATGATTCTGAGCTTTAGTTGGAGTCGGGCACAAAACCAGGTATGAGTTAAAATGTTAAAGTGGACTTACTACAGTAATTTCCGCCCCCTTTATTTTATTGGCGGGCTCTACTAGAGCAGCTTTGCATGATTCACAGTTTAAAATAATCCATATTTATTCTATAATGGGTCTTTATACAGCCCCATCAGTTCACTGTCCACCTGACACAGGCCATTTTATCTCCTTTAAAACCAACTTTCCTCTGACTGGCTCTCCCTCATCAACAAATATTTAACACCACTTGCAGGCAGCTGCCATCCTTAAAGTGGCTTCGGTGTGACAAGACACTGATTAAACGGTCATAAGATAGCATCAGTCTGCTATCAGGTGACTGAGTGATTACATCCAATCTGTGATAAATCTGTGAACATTGCAAACCTGTTGCCATCTACACAGAAATTCAAATTCCAGCCAGAAACTCAGTAATCTGAAAGGGAAGTTCAGAATTTCCTCCACAAGTAGATACACAGTTGCTGCAGGACTGTGATTTAAATGCTAAATGAGGTACATGTACAGCAACCTTGCTTTTATTGGGAGTAGAGCACAGAGTAGAATACAGCTGGCAACCAGATGATCTGAGTTCCCTAATGTAAAGAGCAGACAGGCAAGTTATTGGGAACATATTGGGAATTGTCTGCATTAATAAATTAGGCAACAGTTACTTGCAAACCTGTGCCAACCTATCTGAGAGTGACTGCAGTCACTCCAAGTTAGACAATTCTTTAGAGACAGGTTGCCTCCCAGCAGGTGACCTGTGCAGTCGCTGTGCGATCAACACTGGTTGCAACCAGTTTGTTGTTGCAACTGCTTGTAACTGGTTGTAGAATGTGAAAACATTTTGTGCAATCATTTTCCTAATCACAGGGAGGTTCCTGTTCCATGTTTTGCATATATATTTATATAGCAGGTGACCTGGACCTACTGTGTTCACAGTCAGAGAGATAGAAGGAGATTTTTCATTATTTGATCACCAGCTAAGCTGTTGATTGTTCATCATCATCATCATTTTCATTAGTATCATCATCATTACATCATCGGTTGCATTTTAGTATAAAGAGATACCATTTGCAGCATGTTTAGAAGCTCTAAATAACATCTGTTGTATTGCTTTGACATCAGTTTTACTCGATGAGAGACTTAAAGCCGATTGTAGTAATATAACAATTTGACAACTGTTCAAAAAGCATTTGCAAATGAGTGAACTGTGAACGATGCAATGGAGTAAATCCACCTATTTACTATGAAGACTAGATAAAGACATGGAGCAGAGTCAGAAGCCTTCTAAAATTGTAGATGAGATCTGCCTCGAAGGCATACATGCTCCTCCTGTGTGTGTGTGTGTGTGTGTGTGCGTGCGTGCGTGCGTGCGTGTAGCGACCTGTGCACGATGCCGTGTTTGTGCAGGTGTTCCACAGCAGAGAGGATCTGTCGGGTGTAGCGCCGCACCTCCCGCTCCTCCAGCCTCTTCCTCTCACAGATCCTGTCCATCAGGTCTCCTCCAGCACAGAGCTCCATAACCATGTAGTAACTGTTCTCAGTCTCCAGAGTCTGACGCACAGGATTATTCATATGTGGTTCACAGCAGATATAAAATAACCTTTCAATTACTGTCTGCAATCAACATCTACCACTGAGATAGAAATATGTCTCTGGATTCATGTATGTGTATTTCTGATGATGTTAATGGTTGATGGGTGAATATGTACTTGTTGTTGTTGTTGTTGTGATTTTTTATTTTCATGTCTTTACCTCCAGCAGAACTACAATATGAGGGTGTTGCACCATCTGATGAATGCGAGGCTCCCTCTTCATGTTCTTCTGTACATAGGAGTCCTGTCGTGCTTTTTTTTTGTCTATCACCTTAATGGCTACCTGAGAACAAACATGCACACATGCACATTCTTTTGTTTTGTTGTTTTTGCCAGAAATCAACAGAAATTTACACAAAGACACTTTGCTTTATATAGAAAATAGATTAAAATGTTCACAGGTGACTGTAAAAAAACCTGATATTTATTATGACCAACATGTAACACACTTAAGTTGAAATTTCAGAGGCTTATTTTAAGGAAGTAGGGTGCGTAGGTCTGTCACTTTTTGTGTCTGCATTTTCTCCACTCATCCAGAGGTTTGAGCCAACGGCCTATAGTCATGAACCCTTCAAAAGCTCAGGATACGGACTGCTCTGAACGCTCGAGTTTAGATTTTTGCCACTTAGTATGATGCCAGAGAGAGAATATCCTTAATATGGTGATCTCAGGAACTGGCTGTGAGCACTGCAGCTCCACCCACCTGCTGTTCAGTATAAGAAGCAGCCAAACAGAAAAGAATTGGCCTAAAGGGAGAATGAAGGGAAAGCTACACATAGACTCATTGTAAGATTAATAAGGATTATTGTAAACTGTGACTCATATAAAACTACTTTAATAGGGTGAAACAACAACACTAAGTTGGAAATGAGAAAAAATATTTAAATATTTGGTAACAACAGCATTTGTGCTCGGTACAACTATTTTTCCTCAGAATAACGATCGTGGCAAACAAGCAGGGGCGGAGCGTGGGGGTGGCTTACGGGGCTTAAGCCCGGGTTGTTTTGTCAGAAGCCCGGGGTATTTTGGAGTGTAATTTTTTCATAGTTAGATGCCTGGCTGACAACTGTATAAAACAAAAAGTACACACAATATTCGAAGCACATAGTGCACACTGTGGGAATTTACGACTGTGCGTGAATCCCCCCCTGATATTGGTATGATCCGAGCTCAGGCACTAAACGACTGAGCGAGGGGGCGGGGGGAGCTGCTGCCCGTGAGTGCGCTGTTGGAGAGACGGAGCCAGCCATACTAAGGAGAGCTTAAGGTTGACCAGGTACCAAAGAAAATCATTCGTACTGTACAAATAATGTAAATATGACGGTGAATCACGAAAGATTGATATCAAACTGATCACTTGACCAATATTACGTTACTCGCTCTTCAAGTGAATCAACAAATGGCGAAATGAAAAGCCGAACAAATGCTATTTTTTAGAGAGTCTTAGCTTACGTGTGTTTATTTCATATTTTCAGTTCTTACCCTCCCCGACTAATTCGGTTTCAGTTATGTACTGAAATATAAGAATGGACATTAGAGGCTTCTTTCAAAGAAAAAACTCAGGTAAATGTTATTTTATATATTATGCTTTGTATGTTGTTCAGTATATTTCTATGCAAAACAAGAGGGATTTCAGTACACAGCAGGATATTCACATTTGTAACCAGATATTTACATACACTTTAGGGAGAAAACATAAAACATTTTTACTGTACAACATCAATTTAGAGTAAACTTTTGTTTTAGATAAATATTGAAATATATTTTGAATTAGTTAAATTTCAGAATAAAGAGAGACAGAGCTATTTTTATCACTTTCATTAAATTTAGGAGTACATGTACACTAAGTTTATTGTTAATTAATAAGAAAACTCCAGAGGATTCCATTCTGAGCTGAAGAAGCTTCTGATAGGTTAGTAGAGTCCATGTGAGTAAACTGGTGGCACAGCTGTGGATGCATATAAGGCAAAACACAGAGCCTGTTTTTTTGACATGGGAAAATCAAGAGATGTCAACCAAAACACCAGGAAAAGAACTGTGGAGCTCCATAAGTGTGGCTCAGTTTGAATACAATTTGGTGCCATTTGCAATTAAGAAATACAGATAGTTTCTCTCTTTACTCTTAAAGTTAACAAATATGTTTTTTATATTTATCAATCTAAAAAAAATAAACATTTAGTCTGATTTGATGTTACAATTAAAAAAGTGTTTGTGTTTTGATCTGAAGAGTTTGTAAATATCTGGTTTCAACTGTATATTTGATGATTGTCAGCACAAAGAGAGAGAGAGGAACAGAGAGTGAGATGCAGAATGAGGACAGAACAGAGATGAACAAGAGCAGGTGAGACACACATGTTAGTCAAATGGTTGCTTACTAAAAGTATCACCGTATCATAGGTACTCATGTATCTCGTACCTAGTGTTTCTTTTTAGGTTTGTTATTTTTCAAATTCTACATTTATTAAGTTCTGCAGGCTTGTTTGCACAACAAGGCTGAATAATTATATAAACTTTTCTCAATCTAAATATTGTACTTTGGTAGAATTAAATAAATAAGTGTAGTGCAGGTCTATGATGATTTTTAGTGCTACTATCATCTAGTTCTGATTGTGGTTCTGTCTTGGTTAAGTCCTCAGTAGTCCTGCTTTTGAACTGTTGTAGTCCTGTTTTAATTCTGGATCAGTTCTGGATCTGGTTGAATTGGGGTTTAGTCCTCGTGTCTTGATACAGCCCCGACTTCGTTCTGTCTTGCTGCTTAATTAAAAAACTAGTTTAAGGTGTCCTGCATGTGTGATATATATATTTCCCTATATGAAGTCATTCTTTTTTGAACAAAACTCAAAACAGAGCCTATTAATCTTTCAGTCATTTCTACACCCCCCCCCCCCCCCCCCCTCAAAAAAATAAAAAAAAATCCCACATGCATACTACCCTTTAGGGCTAAGCCCCGGGTGTTTCAAATGTCTGGCTCCTCCTCTGCAAACAAGCACATTTAAAATGGACTAAAACTGAATATCAAAATTAAAATGAAATAAAATAATACCCTCCTCCCCCAAAAATAAAAAACACAACTAAGTGAAACAATATCCTGCACTCTTTCTTTTTATAAAAAAGAAAAACTTTTGAAAGTGAACTAAAAAGAAAATTTGAAAACGAAACAACCAAAATAGTCTGCAAAGACAAACAAAGTAAATGTTTTATTTATTAAAAAATGATGCATCTTGGCATCTTGGACACGTAGCACCGTTGGTTTAAATAGCAGTTAAGATCAAAAGGGCTCATTTTATTACCAAATCTGTGTCTTACTGCATGCGTGAGTTTCTGTGTCATAAACATGTAACATTTCTGGCTTAGGTCAACAAAACATTTCCAGAGAAATCCAAAGGCCCCCAGCAGTGGATGCTTGCAGGTTTACAGTTTTCACCTTAACACAGTATCTACCTGCAGAGGGTAAACTGGGTTAAGAGGAACAACAACCCCCCAGATGAGTTTGGCCATCGCTAAGGCAACCAGGTCAGGTACATTGCCAGGGTCAGCGACTCGGTGACCGGTGAAAGTTACACTTATGGATACACACAAACACATTAATGAAACACATGCACAGTCTCGCCTGCACAGTGAGTGCAGATGGATTGCCATATCACCAAAAATAGATGTGGAAGACACAGAGTACTTACAAAGATGCAAATTCATGTTTTTTGTTAATCTGAAAGAGCGCCGATTCTAACATCAGTCTGCACTTTTTAAAGGAACCAACGACAGACATATTGCACAGAAACAGATGCATTTCAGACCTCTTAAATCTGCTGAGCAAATGTTGTCTTGTAAAACCCCTCATAGTCATGAAATAAGCAGTTATGGATGAATCTGACTGAGTTCTGTGCACATAACAAGAATAATAACAGACTACTACGTTCTTTAAACCCAAGAGTGTATAATTATCAGTTACAAGGCACTAGTTGTAAGCATGTAATCATAATCTTGTATGTGTGTGATCTTTTTCTTTGCCAGTGTGCCACCCCACCAGTCAGTGACATGTCACTTCATGTCTGCTCTCTAATTGTCAAATTGGAGAGAAAGCACTGACCTTTTCCCCTGTGCTGATATGCAGCCCCTCCATCACTTTGGCAAATGAGCCCTTGTTGATCATTTTCCCCACCAGGTAGGATCCAACCCGTTTGGAGTGGGGGAAGCTGCGCAGCAGCTCTCTGGGGACCTTCAGGGAGGGCAGAGGCAGCCTCTGCCGGCCCAGCCCAGAGGCTTCCCACTGGGACACCCCGCGCTCCCCTACGCCCCCTCCCTCGGCAACCATGTCCAGAGCAGGCTTCACCGCAGCAGCTGGCATCCCGGACAAGGCCCGGGCCCCATGTGGCCTCCCCTTGCGCTCACAATCGAATCCAAAAACAGGACAGTCCTTACAGAACGGACATGCTAACACACAAATGCACACAAACAGACACACAATGCTGGAGTTTAACCACAGCAGGCAAAACTGAAGTAAAACTCAAATCCTTAATCAGCAAGAGGCGTCTTCAAATGCAGATTTCTGTTGTCCACTCTCGGGTGAGCATATCCTTTTGTTCCAACTGTCTGATGTACGACTCCTCTTTTCTTCTTTCTTTCTTTTGCCTTTTAACAAGTGCAAATGCCTCAAAGTGTCATTCAGCTGTTCACCCGGCTCCGCTCTTGTTCTCTCACTCTGCCTGTCCCTGCCCGATAGTGGATGATTAACCGTTGTGTTCTTAGGTCAGCTCCAGTGATGAGGAAGACATTCTACACCTAAATTACCCCCCCTCCTGCACCAAGGTACACACGGATACTCGCAGTTACACAGTGACCGTTTAAAATGATCTTAGTTAGCGTTCTTGATCGGCTCTTTTTCTACTTCAGTCCATTTCGGTTTCACTTCAGACACATAGAAAAATTTGTGTTAACTGTACAAAAAGGTCAGGGGATTGATTGTAAGTGTTTAAATTAGCAATAAGTGTTGGAAGCCTAAAGCTTCATTATTAGCTGAAAATTCAGCTGATGATCCAGAATTTGTTTTAATTTGTTTCCACAAGTTCTTTCATGGATTGTAAAGATCTGGAGAAACTGTTCTGATGCTAAAAGTTAAATGAGAAGACACTCTTTGTGTGTAAACATACTAAATACAAAGCTAGAGCCCGAATTTAGAAAGCCTTAGAAGTGCTACAAGGTAGATTAGCTAGAGCTATGCTAGCTTTCTCTCTTGGTCTCGCTCTTTAGGCTCCGGCTCTGCTAAGCTTATCAAAGCTATGTTAATATCAAATAATATAAGACATGAAAAATCAGTCATCTTATTAAGGCGACTGCCCCTCCCTTAGCCTGGTTCTGCTGGAGTTTTCTTCCGATTAAAAGGAAGTTTTTCCTTCCCACTGTCGTGTTTGCTCATAGGGGGTCAAATGATTGTTGGGGTTTTCTCTGTTTTCTCTGTATTGTTGTAGGGCTTACAATTATATCTTACAATATAAAGCACCTTGAGGCAACTGCTGTTGTGATTTGGTGCAATATAAATAAAACTGAATTGAATTGGATTGAATTAAAGCCAAGAATCAAACTAACCTAGTTCCCCAAAATATCCAGCAACATGTGTCAACATACTTGTCACATACAGTAGTTGATACATTAGTGAATTCAATTCAGTTCAATTTTATTTATACAGCACCAAGTCACAACAACAGTCACCTGAAGGAGCTGTATGTTGTAAGGTAGAACCTACAATAAGACATACAGAGAAAAACCTAACAATCATCTGACCCCCTATGAGCAAGCACTTTGGCAACAGTGGGAAGGGAAAGCTCCTTTTTAACAGGAAGAAACCTCCGACAGAACCAGGCTCAGGGAGGGGCGGGGCCATCTGCTGCGACAGGTTGGGGTGAGAGAAGGAAGACAGGATAAAGACATGCTGTGGAAGAGAGACAGAGGTTAATAACAAGTATGATTCAATGCAGAGAGGTCTGTTAATACATAGTGAGTGAGAAAGGTGACTGAAAAAGAAATACTCAATGCATCATGGGAATCCCCCAATTCATTTTGGCTAATTAGAGAGAGCAAGTTAACAATGCGAAAACATCCCCTGTCAATCATAACTGTTAATATCAGTACTGACTTCTTACAGGAAATCTGTGCTAAAGCTACACTGTAGACATGCTCTATCTGCAAACCTCTCTGACACCCTGCGCCATAACCCGACGTGCACCCACCTGGAAATGCAACCACTCATCACTGAAAGCATAGCCAGCAACTGCTGTGATTGGCCTGTTTTTGAATTTATCAGTGAGAAATAACAATCATTGCCTCAATGTAAGGACTCACAGATACAGTTGGAGGGGTCTGCTGAAGTCAAATCAGAATGCATGTGAGGGAATGTAAAACGTGACAAAACGTGAGAAACGAGAGAAACAAAGTGAGCACAACAAAGAGTCGGGGGGAATACCAGAGTTTTATTTGTTTCTATTGTGCACATAAAACACTGGGACACGACCACAGGGTAATTAACACACACCACACAAAAGTATGAATGCCGGTAACGTCATCGGCCACTTAGGTAGGTTACCTCGAGAAAGGATTCCCTACAAAAGTGTTATTTAGATGTTCGAGGTCTTTTGTTTGGCACAGAGAGGTGAGAGGTCAACAACAAATCCCCCCCCCCCCCCCCCCCCCGCCCCCTCTCCTCCAGGCTTTCGCCAAATGGCTTGCTTGAAATCTCTAAATCAAAGAAGATATTTACAGGCCAAATCCCACGAATTGAATCAAAGCCTGTGTAAGAAACCAAATCATAAATGAGAACAATGATTTCCAGTGAAAACAGCAGTTAGAAGGGCTTCAAGTCTTGTACTGACTCAGTGATACAATACTTGCTAAAGAAAAAGGTCATCATTAAAGTGTGTGTCTGCTTTTCTGCTACTCTGTGCATTAAGGCGCACGTCTGTTTGCACGTAGGGGTCAGACTGCACTGTATTGGCACTGGATACTTCCTCACTCAGCTGATGAAAACAGGGATATAGCCTTAGATCGGCCATGTAACCCAATACACTTGCGCGCACACACACACACACAACCTTACGCAACCTTTAATTGAGCGCCTGCAGTAACCAAGTGAAGCCTCTATGGTTACTTTGCCTTAAAAGTGGTTACACTGTATAATTTGATTTGGCATTTTGACCAAACGACATGACAGCCTGTCGTTAAACTCGCTGTGATCACAATCAGCACACCTCGTCTCCTATTAGGTTACCATGCCAACATTTTTTTTAAAAAGAGCCAACTGGGGGCGCATAGTTATTACACTGGAATGAAGGTTTTGTTTTTTTCTAGAATATTTTGAAAACAAGACAAAAATATGAAATCAAAGCCCATCAGTGCATAAATATGTCTGTGCATACTTACACGCCAGGAGCACTACACTTCATAAACGGGTCTTTAGGCCCTGGCATGTGTGCGGGACGAGGTGTTAACACACCCTCCCTAACGCTGGGAAAGGGTGTCAAGCTGGATATGGCTCTGTGCTGGATGAACACAGGGAAAGAAAGAGAAGGGAAGAAAGTGTGGCAACGGGAGGAAGCTGCATACATCCCTGAGAAAGTGAAGGACGACGGACCGGAAATGAGTGAAAACCGACAACTAGACACAGAGACGGGATGAGTGAGAAGGAGAGAAACCAAGCTTCACAACTGCAAAACAAATGTGAATTAATAAGCCCTCGAGAGACTTTTTATATAACCTCAGCCCCTGCCATGCCTAAATGTTTTGCAGAGGCTTTTCTGTGTGTATAAGTGTGTGTGTGTGTTAATGTGTGTGTTTCCATGGTTCAGAAAAGGTCATTCTCACTGCCAGCGAGTACAGTCTATTTGTGTGTGTGCATTTTATGAGATCGCACATATTTGCCAGTTTTCTAGAAGTACCGCGATGCGTGTATGTTTTTAAAATGATGCATCGACACACATGCATGCATGTAAACTTCGTTTACATGCACGGCAGTATAATTAGGTGTATAACATAGTCCAGTGTGTGTGTGTGCAGCGTTGGTGCACAGGAATGCTGGCTTGCCTGTAGGACTTGGCGAGCTTCTCGGCGGTCACATTAAATGAGAAGAGAAACCCCCTTCTGCTTCCTGCCTGTAATAAATGGATCCCCAGCAACCATTAAGGCATATTTTAACACCAAATAACTCCCCCAAACCACACTAGAACAGACACGACCCCCACCCTCTCACCATCTCCTCACTCCTCACTCTGTTTCCTATTCTTTCACTTCTACTACCGCTGCCACTTCTGTACAAAAAAAGGCGCTTGTTGTAAAAATAAGCTCCTGCGTGATGAACTTCACAGTCACACAGTTTGAGTGTTTCATGAAAGTCGCGACGGTGGCCGTTCTTGCACTGACTGCCCCTTGTTTAAATGTTTTAATTCGACTGTTTTGAGCCTAAACAAGAAGATGAAATCCACATATTATCTCTGAAAGTTCAAGTCTGTATTGCACAATACAAAAATTTGCATGCAAAAAACAGTGAATGTAACAAAATGTGGAGGAAAACGGCGGAAAGCAACACATCTAAATTGTGAGAGAAGAATACAAGAAACATGTGATGCTAATGCATTTATGTAATTACAGAGTATGTTGAAAGGACGACTGCAAAGTGTGTAAATGATTAAAGTAAAAACAAATCACATGGATTCTGCAAATGATTGAACTAGAACTGTAGATTTGTGCAGTTCAGAATATGCCCGTGAAAAAACAAACTCATGATTTATTATTTTAACACTACATAAATTAATCCACTTCAAGGTGTTTTACTGCATGCGTCCAAACATGCAGTAAAATATAAAACACGACAGCTCTCACGTGTAACTATAGACTTTGCGGCTTCTAGACTGTTTGTGATATTTAATGATTTAATGTTATGAGTCACAAGTTAACCCCCTTGAGATTTGTTGACTGGTCTTATGAAGCCGTAAGGACTGAAATATAGAATTTGGTCTCACATAGTTATCCGCTGTCCTATGCAGGAAGAAGCACTGAGCTACAGATTGCTGCAGAGATTGCAAACTGAGTTTTTGCTTGTTCATGTGACTCTCAGATTGCATATATAATAAAATAACATGACATTGCACAGTTAAGACATTCCAACAGGTCCTCTGTCTCACCTCTGTGAGTGTTGCCAGAGCTGCTGTCGATGTCTGCCCCCAAGTGGATGTAGGAAACTCGTGCAACAGCCCCACCTGCAAATCCATCCACGCAATTTCATTGCAGATAATAGAAGCAAGACTAGTGTTCCTCTTTTTCTCCAATCTGTCTGCTTTCTTTCTTTGTCTCTGTCTTTCGATAACAGACTTTTCCTCCTCCTGAGCCAGAAAATCCTGGGTCATTAGCTACATTTGTAGTGATGGAGTCTAAATGTGTTTAAGATTACGCTGAGAAAATGAACTGCTAGTGTCTGTTTCAATCTTTACAAGCTTTCACACTCACCACCTGCATACCCACAGCTGACTGAACAGTGTTTCACATGATGACACTCATCATGTGAGGAAGTACAGGAGGGTAGTCCTGCTTGTGAGGAGTAAACATCACTTACTCATACTGTTTAATGGCACGCAATGATCAGATTGCAAGGGAGTGATGAAATGTCAAAACCAGGAGACTAAGAAGGTCT